TGTTCATGTTCCCGTTGAACGGATTGCTGTTCTCTACCGAGCGAAGTGGGACGTCCTGCCATACTAACTGAGGCCCCCTGTCTGCCCTGCTGGCATGGCGTCGATGTTCTTTGTGGGGGAACCCAAGACGGCTCTCCCCACTCATGGGACGACTCCTCGCAAGACTCCCCACTCATGTCAATAATAGTATCGCTACCTGAGCGATCCCCAGTGGTGTCGGAAGAGGTTCTATCCTCTACACTCCCATTCCCACTGGTCCCTACTGACTGGCCATTATCTGGGTTAAACATTTTCTGTGATTCCTGGTGTGCCACGTCTCTTCTAAACTACCCTTTAGTACACCCTCGACCCGGACTCACTACAACCGTGATCTTATACAAATAAAAAAAATCACAACTCTATTCTAAGAGAAAACTACTAAATTCCCAAAATAGGAAATACAACGATTTATCGAGAGAATCGCTGAAGTGAATCCAATGAATGAGTGTCTGCCCCGCACTCGTGTCTGACCGTGAAATATCCCGCAGTTCTATTGCTGAAGCCTAAGTCCTTTACGTTAAAAAAATTAAAGAATCTAATTTATATAAACGATTTAAATGATAACGCAACTAACGCGCAGCACTCGTGATGGATTAATAAAGAATATTTACTGTACTTGAATACTAAACGCGCTTGAAGTGAGCAGCGTGGCCACTGATGACTGATGGAGCGGGACCAGCTGCGCTGAAAAAAAAACTAAGTCCCGCGCTTTTTCGCTTAAACGCTGAAAAATCAAAATCTTTGTTCTGAAGGAAAATAACTAGTTTTACGTTAATAAACCGCTCTAGCGATTAATATAGACACCCAGGACCTATAAATGCTTACTAAAAATTGAATTTTTATCAAAAACTGCGTTTTTACTCAATTGCTGGACTGCCAATTTTTCTGACTCCGAGGGAAAAATGTTCTATCACCCCAAATATCACAAAACTCGTTTAATTCACAAAAATTTGGGTTTCTCGTTCCCAGATATACATACGTTATTATTCACTACCGACGTTGTATGCAGAACAATACTGACACTTCGGGCGGTTTCAACACTCACTAATTCGATTTTTCGTCAAAATCCGAGATTTTCACCTCAAATGGACTCTGACAAAATTACGACACGATTTCTCGAAAAATAACTAAATTCGGCAAAAATGTAATTATCACTGTTTAATGTTTTACGAACAGAATTACGTCCCTTGCGCGCACTAGAGAGTAATACTGGCCCCAGAATATACACAAAACATGAAAATTCGAATTTTCGCCAAAAAGTCAGATTCTAGCCCAAGCTGGACTTAGAAAATTTTCCACCTACGTTTCTACTGAAAACAGAATTCTAAGTCTACAAACACAATTCTACCGTCTTACTGGTAAAAACTAGAAACTATCACTCGCATCGACTGGGGAATCCTAATGACACCCAGATCATACACGTGACCCACGAATACAAATTAATTACAGTTAACGAGTTTCCGACATCGACTTAGCCGAAAACTTATCCCAAAATACTTAGAAATATACCACGGACTCTATTAAGCATTTACACGCAACTTATTATCCCTTAAACTCCTTCACTTATCTATCGTGACCGACATATAGCCCTAAGTCCAGAGGATTAACAACGCCTCTGACTTAGACTAATAGAACAGGGAATAACAAAACTTAACGTACGCACTTAGCCTAATATGCAAGAAAACGCTACACTTGGGAAAATTTTTAACCGGGGATTGAATTTAGGGGAAAAAAAATTAATCTAGAACAATGCAAATAAACGGAAATTACTTTATAATTTGAAGTATACTTAATTCAAAAATGCACTCGACTTAATCTTATAATTGTTCCTACCGGCTCGCCGTACCACACCTAGCCTAGGGGCCACACCCTCTAGGTTCCAACAGAGCGACACGCAGCTTTCAGCAACAATTATGACTAGGGACGACTCAACCTCCACTAAGTGTGCGATCACTTAGTTGTTGAATCGCTGCTAGGTAGTTTACTAGTCCGTCCCTCGGAGGCCGCAACGCCCTTCACGGATTACGTTTTTCCTTAGCGTTTTGGGTCGTCTAATAACGCCCTCGGACTATCTACTGGCGTCCCACAGATATATCCGCCCCCGACAGCCCTCAAGGAACTGCTGTTGAGAGTATGGTGGCTCCCAACACCTCTGAATTAATTGCAATGGGTCGAGTATGGTACCCAGTCCAATCAACTCGGAGCGGTCTCCTTTTCAATAAATCTATTTTAACAGCCTAATCTTACTAACTAAACCTTAATCATATCAGCCCGCATGACCCAAGATTCGCCAATCCCCACTCAAACGCACTTGTGGGGCGCACTGCTAATCCTGACCCGCGGCTGTCTCCTTAGCATCCGCGCACGTGTTCGAACGGCTAGACGCGTGAGCCTTTCAACAATTTCAAACAAAATTGTTGAAACCACCGCTGTGCACCATTGTAACACGGGTACGGGTTTCTCTCTCTTTACTTCCTTCTTTCTACTCCCTCTACCCGTATTCTTACTTTTATTTCTAAACCAAGGGACTCCAAAACTTTTACCAAAGCCAACTCCACGCCACGTGGTCCTAAGACGATTGACCGACTTAGGATTCTACACCCAGTATGACGTGACCTAAGCTCTGAACAAAACCCTAGAGTCACCTCTGCTGCCACCACCAGACCAGTAATACAAGAGCAATGATCGAGGTCTGGATCGATCACGCTAATTAATCAACCTAGGGGCTTGATCCCCACTATAAACGATGACCTTGAGTGTGGAATAAATTACACGGTAATGATAATTCCGATTCGATGTTAGAATCGGCGCCCAATGCAACTCTGCCTCGTGTGGACCACGTGACCAGGACAAGTATACACATAAAACACATGGAAACAATAAAATGCAAATTAATAACAAATTTAATTTATTAAAAGAAAACTAAAACAAAATCTAAATGTGTTCACTCCCTATCACTTTAACACTCCCTACTTGACCTGAGTGGCAAATGAGAAGACTATCCCTATAATTAACAATAGCAACTATACCTTGGGCGACCACAGCTCTAGGTGTTGGGTGGTCTTGGGGAGAGGTAAGATGTTTGACCTCTCCCAGCTGCTCCCGTATTCACACTGATCTCTCTTGTCTGGACTACCCCAGACAGAACATTGTATCCTTCCGCATCGCTTACCCAGTTACTTTAGCAAGGTTAAGTTATAACAATTAAACTCTGTTGTACTTAATTGATCCAGACTGGTTGAATTATTTTACTGAATTAAATTACAAACATCTAACGGCAGAGCTGTTCCCGATCACAAAAATGGTTATTAAAACTTTGAGAAATAGTAGACCTGTCAACCCCTGATGACCTATGACCGCCGGTCACTCCGCTTTAAAAGTTAGATCTGATTCGTGACGTCACTGATGGTGACTTAAACTCAATAATTAGAATACTCTTGATATTGTACCCAGTACTATTATACAATACAATTTTAATGCAAAATGAATAAAGGCTAATTTTCTCTAAATTACTTGAATACTATAGGATGATTCATTATACGCAGATATGAACAAAGCGTCGGTTATTTCCACCGCGAATTCCCCTGGGGGTCAGGTCACCATGCGGCTCAGCTTCCCATTCTCTTTTGTCGATAAACCACTCTGGATAATTCTTACAACAGCCTAGTCTGTTACAATATGAAGAACATGGAAAAACAAGTCACTCTCACAACCAAGAAACGGATCCATTATCAAAATAAAAAACGGACCCATAGTCAAAAGTCAGGAAAAATGACGTGTGGATCAACTTAATATTTTAAGATGGCCACACAGGCCACTTACAGTACTTTTCATATGCAACGCTTTACAAGGTAAACTATGTGAGTGTATTATCCATTTTATAATACATTACTTACAGCAAAAACAGAGTAAATGGCATGAAGAATGTAAAGAGGTAGAGGGGGGAAAAGAAAAAAGTACTTGGGACAATAATGTTCTCATATTGTTCTTGATATACTGTACATAAACAACAATACATGGACAGGCTGACCATATCAACGTTCATATACTGTAATCTAAAATTTGAAAAGAAAATAAGTACATTATTTATATATTATTGTACGAGGACACACACAAGATGCAAAGTGGTTTGCCATTGTGAATTGAGCCCCAACATATGCATGGCAATGAGGATGGGAGCATAAGAAAGGAGACCAGTGATATCATAGTAACATAGGGAAATAACTACTGTACTCTCAAGAATGAAAAACGAATAAGGACACACATCTCAAAAACACACACACAAAATAGTTTCTGCAGTGTACATATGGTTGGCAAATGTAAGAACAGCATTAAATTTTCAACAAGACACTATACACAACCGGTGGTGGCGGAACTTGTCTCGCACAAGATAATCCAGAGGGTTTCTAACAGTACAGTCTTCTAATACACAAAACCTAAACAATTTGTACTAGAATAGGCTGAAAGACCAAAATCTCTTCTCTAAAGAAAGATATAAATGAGACATTGTTGCAACATATGATGACCAAACCACACACCAGACGAGACGACGACGAGAGAGATAATGGGAGCATTTCGGTCTGTCCTGGACCATTAATCAAGTCGAGTGTGAACGGATCGAAAATGTCGTTGTCTCATCTTCTGGTGTGTGGTTTGGTCATCATATCTTTAGCCACGTTATTGTGCCACCCGATTTGCAACATATGGTACTTGAAGATACTGACAAGACAGACAAAACACAGCTCAGTTTCATGGTGAAGAGTGGATGACAAGAGGTTAGTAAAGCATGGGTACAAGGCCCTACCTGGAAGCTAGTGTTTTTTCCCTGCAAATGTAAGTACTGCATACTTATATACAAAGCAATTACAGTATTGTGTGCATTTAAGTAAATCTATATACAATACAGTGCATATACACAATCTGCGACAAATTGCAAGCAATGACGAGTTCTGTTCAAGTACCTTGGGTGGTTTAACCTGAGATAGGAGGTGCTGAAGACTACTGCTAGGATCCTCCCCATCCTCTGTGTGAACCTCCTCCTCTGCACCATTCTTTCTTGTAAGTGGTTCTGGAGAAATTTAAAGAAAAATTTGTTATGGTACTAAAAGTTAAAAGTGTATGAAAGTTGTACAGCTGCTAATAATTTAATTATTTCGGGTTTGAGGTTAATTTTTTATACATTTAATTATATACCGTATTTTTAATGTACAGTACACACAACTGTTTAGCGATTTTTAATTGACCGTCCATGTACTGTATTACTATAGTGCAAGCTATTATCCAGATAATATCCTTGAAAGTAAAATTCGCTGATCTGGTCTTTCCCATATCATCTCTGGGAAAGTTTAGTGAAACTTATACCCTATTGTAAATGTTGGTTATTATTCTAGGTGGTATTACATTTCAAGTTAAATTTCATGTGTGATTTTGCTATAAAAGTGTGTGCAAAAGAGAGGTTCTGTTATTTGCACTAATATCTTCTGTTGGAAAAAAAACAAAAAAACAAGCCTAAACATAAGAACTAAATACCATAGGCCTAAATAACATGTAGTCTCAACTAGGCACAATCCAATTAATTCAAAATGTTGAGCTGCCAATGTGCAGTATTAAGCATATATTATCTTTGACATCATTAATTAGTTTACAATGTATTCTTTAATTCAATGGTACATGTTAAATTAAAATTATTTTCATGTTTACATATTTTTATCAACACTATTTCATCCCAAAGCAATGGAAAGTATTTTAATAATAAATATATGGTATTTAAACAAAGGTACTGTAATTGTGTATGGTACTCTACTGTAATAAAAATTAAATTATTATATCACAGCAACTGGGATAACTTATCAATATTAAGGTCACTCCTCGTTGCTTTTTGACTCAAGACCAACTTAGTGGTTCGTTATGGTGAACAAAACATGCAAATACTTATATATAACCTGTGTATATAGTGTAACAACAGCAAACCTATTTGTTTATTGTTTTATGAACATAATTGAATCACTAATACAGTATTTAATAATATCGGCCTGTATAAAACTTGAATACCGATTCTAAGGTATTACCTTTCTTCGGAGAGAGTGGAGGTGTACTGTGTAGGCTACTGGTCCCAGATTTGGTGGTGTGTTGGTGTTGCTGCCGCGGGTAATACTTGGGTCTTTGCTTATCATACAGACGCATGTGGCGGTCTGGCTTTTGGGTATAAATAGGTGGCGGTGATGCTGAAACAAGAATTTCATAGTTCAAAATCATACTATACAGTACTATTTGTACATCATTATCTTGTTTCCTACTGTCATGTAGTGAGGAGAGAAGCCCAGAAAAATGGGCAAGTAGCAAAGTAAAAGAAAGTTATTGAATATTATAATAAAAACACAAGTAATGTTCTACCATTCATTATGTCCTTCACATACAGTACAATACTGTATAATATACTGTATAGCATCCTGAACCTGGATGAGGTTCTGGGAGTTTTACTCACTAAGCCTGACCCAGGGCCAGGCTTGACTTTTGACCGCTTACATATATTTTCTTTTTCTAGCAAATATAATAATTCAGCAAATAGCAAGAAATGTGCAAAAACATGTTAAGAATCCAGACACACACCATGGTAAATTTCATGCTAATGTGCACAAGTACACGACACGAGAAATGATTTTTTTGCTGCTACTGTATATATACATACAGTACAGCATAAGTAGCAGAAAAAAAAAAGGTACAAGAACTAGATCATTACAACCTATGGCTGACTCACGTTGTGCAAGGGGTGGTGACATGACGGGAGGGTACTGTGGTGGAGGCTGGTAAGGTGGCACATAGCCCTGGGGTGGAGGACCAGGTGGCGGCCCATAGAACTGGGGTGGACCTTGGCCTGCATTTGGACCCTGAAATTAACAAATGAATATACTGTAGTGTGAGAAAATTATCATTATTCAATGGATGTGGGAAGAGAGCAAATGCCCGCCATAAAAACAAAAATAAAATTTAACGTATCTACACAGCCCTAATGCTCTACAACACAAATGCTGTATACAGTGGACTACTGTACTCTAACAACGAGCAATAGGGAATACCATAGTTGAAAACCACACCTCGGCAAGCAAACATGAAAATATCACAAAACATTACAAGTTTTTAAACTTGTACACAAGTGACTTACCATTAACTTAAAGGAAAGGACTTTGCCATCACCATGTTGCACCGTCAAATTTAATGGTGCAGTAAACATTCTGCTAGCATGAGCAGCTCCATCACTTGTCACTCTGCCACTCCTGGATCCAAAATTTTCTTCTGTCTGCCCCTGTTTGTCACTGTCAGTTATGGTTACACCTTTATCCACAACTTTATCAGATTCTGAAGTCATCTTAACTTCAACTTTATTCAATGCTGGAATAATAGGAGTCATTTATGATTTCCATGGGAACTATCATAACAGTGCACTGCACTTTTATGATACGATTAACTGCACTGCCTCATACTTCGCCTAAATGGACTCATGATAAATGTTAAGCTATCATCCTGTAACATGCTACATTCAGTCTGTACTCGTCAGTATGAAATCTTTCCCCATGACCTTATAGGATGATGGGGGTCACGGTGGAGGATTTACCCTTAACCTTTGCAGCAGTGGAGGTTATTGCAGACTTGAAAGATTTTCCCATAATCCTTTATTTTCTAATCAATAAATGGAAATATTCTACACTACGACTTCCTGTCACTTGTGTACTCATGAATGTCCATCTCACCCCTCTTCTGGATTAAAATGTTGGAATTTCCGACTGCATGAAAAAAAATTTTGCACGAAAAACTCGTGCAAAAATTTGCACGAGTCAAATTGCCACAGTACGGTAGCTGTCTCACGCCTCTGAAACTGCTTTTTTTCTTCTCGATATCTCTGCTATTGAGGCTTGGCGAGCTAATATGCAAGAACTATAATACTTAAAATATCTCAAATTGCATTTCCATGAATGAAGGTAAAAAGAAATGCGTTATAATCACATCTGGAAGATATGAGGAGGAAATGTTTCCAAAATTTGCATGGTAAACTGTGCAATACAGCTCCATTAAAAAAATAGATACAGTAAATACACCAAGAGATAATTTAATAAATGAAAATCGTCAATCTTTTTCAACACACTTCCTCTAAATGTTAACGCGAGTGTAACTGTACCAAAGCTCGATAAAATACATTACAGACCAATTGCCTACATCGAAATGCAAGCTACAAACCCCTAGAAGTTTGGCTGATCAAGACGTCACCTGACTTGGTCACTCACTGGGCCGCGGGTGGTCACTCACTGAACCAGAATCTTCACCCTGGTGGCCAGGCTTGAGGTGCCTCCTCGCAGTCCCTATATTATATCCAATTTATCCTAACTTAAATACAAATAGGCTTGTAAAAATCATCCTTACGCCCCAACAGGAAACACGAATCACGATATTAAATACGCCAAAACACAATTTTATCTTTAAGTACTGGCTAAATAATTTAAATGGTAAAACACTAATTCTCAACAGCACTTGCTATCCTGCCATTAACCACTGCACAAAGTGTATTTAGGCGCTCTGAGAGTTGGTCTTTTTTTTTAATTAGGCTATATTTTAATGTACTTTTTAATGTTTTCATTACTATTTGTGTTTTGAAATGGAAATAGTTGAGTTTGGAAACATTAACTTTTACATGAACATTTATGAAACTGAACATTTACAAAAATATGTCCTTAACAATTGCACAAAGTAGTTAGCAGTGCTTCCATTGTTCATGTTGTTTGACCAGTCTTGTTTCTAAATACTGTGTTGTAGATATTTAGTCATTGTAAATTATAACGTTTCATACACTTGCATGGAGGACACCAACACAACGCCAATAACTACACTAGCGCAAATAAAACTGTTCTGTATTTCGAGGTTGGAGAGTTAAGAGTCACGCGGACACTCTCCTTAGAGTTAAGAATCAGTCACTTGCGTCAAGGATGTCAAGGGGCTGACATTGCATAGAATTAATAAATACTTTCAGGACTGCCATATACACGCAAGGAGCTGCCTCTCGACCTTAGAAAATACACCCATGCTCTATATTTAAACAAGCTCGAGCGACAATACAATCAGAATGTCTAAATTCAACGCGACTGGGCTATATATGGTAGTACAGTGCATCTAGGAATAAAACAAGCTAACATCCTAAGCCTAATGTACCCAATCCTAGTACCCTCATGACTAATAATGAACAACCCAGCGGGTTTTCTTCCTATTGGGGAGTGTTGTACATGCTGCTATGGCGGTGTGTCCACTCACAGGACGAGTGACGCTGCCCAATAAACTCGCCCCTCGGGGCAAACTTTAAAAATTTAATAATGTACAATATTATGCACACATTATTTATAGTACCGTTAGGATATAGTAACTTGTCTTGGCAGTTATATTTACGTAATTGTTCACATTGTCTATACATAATATTACTGGAGGAGGATTTTATTTTTATTTGTCTCTGTCTCTTGTTTCCGAAACCTTGTACATAAAATATCATGAAATACCCCGTTTTACTAAATTTCCTTGGTTTTGCATCACCATAAACTTCTTAAATCGATATTACATCAGTATAAGATAAGAATTTAAGTTAGGCTGAAAATAATTAGGCGCTCGAGGACGACAAATTCTTAATGCACACGAACCACCTAACAACATGTACCGTACTCGTTTATAAAGAGGGATTGATATAGTCAAGTGGCCAGGCTAGTTTGAAAGTCGACACCACACTGCCCAGAATAGATTAAATATATGTTTTATAATACCTTCATCTACAAAGTCGACAATCACTTTCCTTGTCATAACTGTGCTCTTCATTACTTTACTATTATATAACACCGCAGAAGTATCTTTACTCTGCCGTACACACACACACATACCTTAAGCACGTCCATACTTTTTTTTAGGGGGGGGGGGCGAGGGGGGGCCGTATATGTACTATATTATTTCATACAAGTGTAAATCCAAGCACGGCTGTGTCACATAGCGCCCTACCCCAAGGTATCTGTTGATACCTGGTTGATGAGGTTCTAGGAGTTGTTCTACTCCCCAAGCCCGGCCCGAGGCCAGGCTTGACTTGTGAGAGTTTGGTCCACTAGGCAACTTTTGTAAGTTGCAACTTTTGTTGTAAGTGCAACTGTTGCACTTGCAACAGCAGCATTTACCAGCAAAAGTGATTCGAAATAAGGAAATTGGCCCAGGTGTAATAACACATGCAACCACAGTGTGTCTAGGTCTAGAATAATTTAGGCCAGCCTAGTGTGATGTATGAAAACCGCCTCTCGGCCAGTGTGGAAAGGGATGAAAATAGACCAGTGCTCAGCTGTGGGTTGTGAGGGCGTGACGTGCCAGATCAGTGGTTATCATCCTTCACACTGACCAGAAGGGCATGTGGTGGGGTGGAGAGTGGTTGTGCACCTCAGCCCAGGCACTCGTCATCAATAGCAACTTAACGAATCTTTATCAGTTATGAGGATGGCAGTCACTAACCAATATTAACGGTACGGCCCTGTGAGGTATGCAGCACGGCACTATAGGTGTACGCCCCAGCGAGCTGTACGCCACAGTATACCTGCGATTGATTAGATTAACCCACACAATGAGGTGACACGGGCTTGAGTAGCCCATAAACCTACAGGAGACGTGTACGGCACGCTAAATAGAGAGGTTCCACTACCTCCAGAAGGGAGACATCTCCCGTCACGCAGGGTGCAGTCGCACCTTCACAGATCTCCAGTATCAGCTCTTGATACTGGTGATGGCTCAAAAGGGCCACCACTTACGGGCTATTCATGCCCGTGCCACCTTTTGGCTGGCTTAATCTTCATCAATCAATTACCTCCAGAAGCTTCATGTAGTCTTGAGTGACGCAGGGTGTTGTGCGCGAGGCTTAGGTGTTATACCTAATCCTCTACTAGCCTATGACTTGACTAAGCTATGGTGTTCACAACAGGACAAGCTACAACGGATCACCTTGTGAAGGATAGATGAAATTGTTTATGTAATAGTCTAAGATGAGGTCTGATAAAGACCTTTTGTGCCCTCTGTAATGATTTTGCGCTACCGCTCACAGGATGAGTATGGGGTGCACAATAAACTAGCAGCCTCCGGCGGCAACAATCAAAATGTAAAAATCAATCAGCTTGTGGTGCAGGCACTGTGATACAGGTACCTCTCATTCCTTCTACATATACTCCTAACACACATTTTTGAATTTTATCTTCATTACAACAATGTAATATTATAACAAAATGTATACACAATTAGTTTTTATATAACTTGTTCCACTCACACCTATGGGATGCTCATATCTGTATAATAAAAGCGCTCGAGTCTTTCAGTTATACTTCTCAGGTCTCGAACCATCAAACTCGGAGCATTATGACCTCATCATGATAGGCGAATTGTTGACTGATAAATATTGGAATCATATTCATGCTCTTAAGGTTTCCACTCATTCACGCCCTCATTGAGTTGATTACATATTACGTGAATGCCAGTAGTCCTCCCACACCGTTCCTCAAGGAAGACTCGTACACAAAATTAAAAAAAAAAAAAACAAGATGGAATAAAAATAAAGTATGAAACTGGATAAGTGAATATATCTATACCGGCACTGACCAGAGGTGGGGAATTTACACAAGTTGGACGTTCACAAGGTTCAGTCCTGGGTCCACGACTGTTTCCGGGCAAGGGATTAATACAGACGAGGAAGTAGTCACGTTAGTTTTGTTCGTTTATTATACATACCCACCCCGTGAGCGGTTGTGGAAAAGGTTGAAGCGCCACGTAATGAAGTCAGGAGCCTAACCTCAAAATTAATTTAGCTATGCCAGCTACATGAAATGTAGAAGATACA